GAGACGATATGGTGGGCTCTGAGTAGTTTTGTTCAGTTCCCAATAGAACCAATCTTCGCCGTCCTTGTCGTCACGATACGTGGGTCTACCCCCCGCCCCTCTAGTCAGCCCTCTGTGATTCAAAATTTTGTAGTAAGGGCGAGTAACAGAGTCACTCGGGGATAGGGAAAGCGACGAACTGGGACGAAACATAGCTCCATTGTAAGGAGAGAAGATCCACCAGGGGCTCGCCAAAGCTAGTGATTGTAGAAAAGTCGAAGCTAGGGTCCCAGAGCATGAGGAAGGCATTCACGGGATCGCTGCTATTGTTCAATATGCTTGGCTCAGTCAAGGCGAGGATCGTGTCATATTGTACGGTGGTCGTAGTATTGGCGAGCAACGGGCACTGGGTGCTGTCGTTCGCAGCTAGGCCCGTGAAGGGCATCAATTTCAACTCGGTAGTCCCATTGTAGTACGAGCCCACCCAGTAGTACGGATCGTGAAGAAGCGTCACGTTGTTGGGCCGGAAGGGCAGGGAAGCATTGTAGCTTGCATCATCCGCAGCGGTGGTGAGGAAGGGAAAGGCGAGGCTGAAGATCACAGCCTGAGCTGATACAGAGACACGCATTGTGCCTCCCTTGTGGAGGCCACTGGGCAATTTGGGCCTTGAGTCAATTATAAGGTATTTCTCCTTCTGTAGCCAAGCAGTGCTTGGGCTAGTGGGGTCTTAAACTTCTGTGGTAGCTTAGCCATGAACCAAGCCTTGCCGTTTAGTGCTTGGTCTCGGCTATTTACCCGAGAAGGGCTCGGTGACTCCGTATTATTGACTTCTAGTATTGGCATAACTATTATAAATTATCTATTGTCTGAGAATCACATCTATGACCTATATTATACTGTCACCCGAACTTGATCAAATGTGTTGCGGAGACTATCCAATTGACTGAATTCAGAGCACGCCCGAAAGCCAGAGGAAGGGTTGAGCCGGTTTATGTCTATTTGCATGTCAGATGTCCGTCCCTTAATCTAATTGGTTTAGCATTACCTCGTCACGAATTAGCCTGCAGTGGTCCAATGGAGTAATCCGAAGTTGGCGGATTTTCAATGGATTGTTCCTATTACTGCGGTCAAAAGAAAACTGTCTACTTCGACCGTGACCACATCCGGAAACAGAAATCAGAGCCGATATCGGATGGCCCCGTTGACACCCACCCAACACCCAATCAAAATTCCCGAGTCGTTACCAGTTACCTAATCTCAAGGCCTTGTCGATTCTGACCCCTGAGGCTCCTTTGTTATGATTCAGGGACCGGAAGAAGGGTCTGAAGATTCCAACCCTTGAGCCTTGCTTCCAAACTCATCGCTGCATGGCTATGCAAAGGTCTCACATACCGCATTATAAGCTATTTGATGTCTACATTAGATTCAACAGATCGCGAGATCCTGCTGAATGTCTCAGATCGACCGCGGAATTTCCGCCACAAGCTTTCGCCAACGCCAGCGATGAATGACAGTAGTCCCACACGAAGTTACTTAATAGAATTGGAATTCCTCTTAGACCGATCCTGGCCTGACGAGCTAGTGAGACTAACCCCTAGCAGATTCACCTCGGAAATTCCTTCTATGGCCAGAAGCTGCGCGATGCTTAGCATGGCCGCTCCTGTGAACCTCGGGTCTCACGGTCGTGTGGAAGTAGAGGTGCTGAACCCAGGCATCCGATATTTCGAGAGTGATAGTCATCAGCAACTCGTGGTATTTTGATGCGAGTGAGGCAACAAGGACCCTGTCGGGTCCCTGAGTCCCCTGATTCCTGCGATGGTGGTGCATGAACCCTGCAGAGATTCGCAAGATCGATCTCAGAGCGGAACAGCCGGATAGAAACTTGAGGCTGACGTACGCCTCTTAACTAGATCAGGCAATCAATCGGCAGATCATTTTAGCTAGGAGGAAAGTTCCCATTCGGGTTAGCTCCGGACCTTAAGGTTAAGGTATTGCAGCCGTAGGGCTCGCTTATTTACTGTGATAGTATAATTACCACCGATCTATCGACTAAGGAATAGGGTGCCATTCATTTTGCTGAATGCCTTTTCTATTTCACTCGGTACCTGATTCTGTCTACCAATTCACTTCCATCAGATGGGTCCGCAATCTCCGAATTGCCTCTTTCCCCTTCACCTTTCTCCACCACGACACTTTTCGTATGCCGATCTCGGTCTTGATATCGAGAAGATACTACCCTAGTAGAGTATCGCCGGAGCTCTTTGTATCGAACCCACTTTCTGTCAATATGGTGAGATTCGAAAATGCAGGGCGAAGTGAATGTCGTCTCATGTATACCACATAGATGCTCTAATCTCGCCGCGTCTACTTTTTATGCCAGAGAAGAGCCTTCCACAATATGAAATTGAATACCAATGCTTGTTTCTTACTTACTGTACCTCAAAGCCAGCAGCACATGATGAAGCCTGCGCCTAATGGGCCCCAGAGGACCACTGTTTTTCGAGTGCGTTCTATACTAAGGCCAAGGGAGCTTAGTTTTACATTGTTCGTGCCCACATAGTTCGCAGTAGACTAGACATTTTCGTGCAAAAGTACTCACTGGCAGTATAGGCATCCCCTAGAGTGCAATAGTTCGATGTCGTGAGAGCAGACTAGAAAACGTCTTAGCGAGTCTTGGTGTATATAAAGGGGACTGCTCTGTCAATCCTTGAGTCTTTCACAGCAATTCATCTTTCAGTCACTCATTTGTCTCTACCTTCAGTCATTCTTTCTTTCTCACCTTTATTTCATTTTCTTTACCAGACTTTCTTTACAACCTCATCATGCTCTTTGTTCAAATCTAACTCGTTCCTTTATTCATTCTTTCATATCTCAAGATCGTCATGTATGTGCCTGCCTTATTGGCAGCCGGCGCCCTTGCCGGAACAGCTACAGCAAGCACCACTTCTTGTCCGAAGGCCTGCTCTTTGAGCACCAATCCTTTTAAATGGATTCCCTACCATTCCGTCAGTCGAGTCGCTACTTGCAGCCAGCCCATGTTGCTCGACTTCGCTCTTTACAACCCATTGAATGATTCCCAGACCCACTCAACCATCTACGCCTGCACCACGGAAGAGGAGGATACTTCTACCTCTTCTGTAGCGAAGAGAGCCGTAGTTGCGGTAAATTCTACTTCGACTACGTCTTCTGTGAACTTTGAGTTGGGTACTTGGGGATCTGCCGTCGACTCGGCCGACGACCAGCTTCAGAAGGCCCTGACTGATCTGGAAGCTTACATGGTATCTGACACGGACAGAAACTTCATGTTTGCGTACTCCGGGCAGGCGGTGATTGGACTCTATATCGGGGGCCGATATGACCCTTCTACCACCGCTGCTACCTTAGCGGGGTTGATGCGTTCCTCTCTTTCCTCCGAGGGGTCATTTAACCAAATGGCTCTGCAGTCCTGTGGGTCTACCGCCAACTATATGGTTGGACTGGCCATCAGTCTGGATGGAGACCTTCCTGCGGTGCAGCAACTGGTGAAGACGTGGAGCGAGGCAGGCTGTGTCACGGGGTTTGACTCGTTTGACTCCAACACTGACTTGACCGCGACGCTGGCCACTGTTGCTCCGCTCCGCTCCAACTCCGCGACGCTCGCTGCTCGCGACGATACCTGCTCCACCGTGCAGGTGGTTTCGGGCGATTCCTGTACGAGCCTGGTGACAGAATGCGGCATCACTTCCACGGAATTCTACGACTACAACACCGCTTCCGACCTTTGCTCCACCCTGGCAGTTGGTCAGTACGTGTGCTGTTCCTCGGGAGACCTACCAGACTATTCGCCCCAGCCATACAGTAATGGCACCTGTTACACGTACCTGGTGGAGTCGGGTGACTCGTGCTCCACGATTGCTGCATCGAACAGCCTGACCGTCGATGATATCGACTCATTCAACAATCACACCTGGGGATGGCTGGGATGTGATGACCTCCAGGCGGGCGAGAACATCTGTCTGAGTAGCGGGGATCCTCCCTTCCCCGCCCCAGTGACGGGCGCCACCTGCGGTCCCCAGGTTCCTGGTACTACGGCCAATGGCACCGACTATGACGAGTGGGCGACGCTGAATCCCTGCTCGCTCAACGCTTGTTGTGATGTCTGGGGCGAGTGTGGCACCACCCCGGAGTTCTGTACTATCACAGAGTCCACCACGGGCGCTCCAGGTACTGCGGAAGCCGACACGAATGGATGCATCTCGAACTGTGGCCTTGATATTGTCAATAACTCCACGGCTCCCGACGAGTTCTTTGCAATTGGGTACTTCGAATCCTTCAACGTCGAGCGCAGCTGTCTCACCATGGATGCCAGCATGATTGACACCAGCAAGTATACTCACATTATCTTCGCCTTTGGAACCATTAACTCCGACTATTCCATCAGCATTAATCAAACCGACCAGTTTGAACAGTTCCTCAATCTTACGGATGTCAAGAAAGTCGTCTCCTTCGGAGGGTGGGATTTCTCTACCTCCAGCGACACGTACACGATCTTCCGAGAGGGCGTGACGTCCACGAACCGCGCTCTCTTAGCACAGAATATCGGAGACTTTGTGTCTCAGTATGGCATTGACGGGGTGGACTTTGACTGGGAGTATCCTGGTGAGCCTGATATCCCGGGCATCCCCGCCGGTAGCGACGAGGATGGTACGAACTATGTGGCATTCCTGAAGGAAGTCCGGTCGGCTATTGGCACGGACAAGACCCTGTCCATCGCGATGCCCGCCTCGTACTGGTATCTTCGTGGCTTCCCCGTTGCCGATATCAACGATATCGTCGATTTCATTGTGTACATGACGTATGATCTCCACGGGCAGTGGGATTACGGAAACACTTCTGCCGATGATGGCTGCGCGGACGGCAACTGCCTGCGCTCGCACGTGAACCTGACGGAGACCACTTATGCCCTGTCCATGGTGACCAAAGCCGGGGCGGACTCCAACAAGTTGATGGTCGGAGTGGGCAGTTACGGCCGGTCCTTCGAGATGACTACAGCGAACTGCACCGGTCCGGAGTGCACCTACGTGGGCCCGGACTCGGGGGCCACGCCAGGCCGCTGCACTCAGACTGCGGGCTACATCGCCAACGCCGAGATTAACGAGATAATTGCCACCAATCCCACCGTGCAGGTTCTCTTCGACAGTGGCAGTGATTCTGACATCATCGTCTACAACGAGACCCAGTGGGTCGGATACATGACCAATACCACCAAGAGCACCCGGACCACCTACTACCAGGGTTTGAACATGGGTGGTACGACCGAGTGGGCAATCGATCTCGAGTCCTTTATCACTTCGCCTACCGACGCTACGGCCTTTGGCGAGTACCTCGTCGAGCTCAAGGCCGAGGTAGACGATGATGAGACCGAGTTCATTGCCACGAACCAGACTTGCTCTGACCCCAGTTCGGGTGATGAGAGCGGCCTGCAAGCCAGTGAAGAACGAGGGGTAGCTGCGTATGTTAATTGGCTAGTGGAGGATAGTTTGAAGTCGCGTATGTGTTGTTGCCTCCCTTCATGGAGCGAAGTTATTGCTAACCCTCTTATGCAGCGACTGAATGGACTCGCAAGATGTTCATGAGTACGGGAGCGGGGGCCACCCAGTGTGATCTTTACCCCGACGGAGAATGTCCCTTCCCAACGGGTTTCTGCTCAGACTATAACGTGTCGGCAGAGTACTGGGCCGAGTACGTCGTGGCTAATGCATACCAGTATATTACCGAGCTCGGGTCGCTGTTCGACTTTGCCACGCAGAACGAGACGCTGAGTATCGACGCCATCGTGGACGACTTCCCGGTCAAATCGGGGGCCACGGTACCCGACTGGGCGACAATTCTCACCAATGTCGGCGGGGTCATGGGCATTGTGGGGAGCGCTATCCCGGGGCTGGACGCGGAAGCGGACACAACGATGATCGGGACGCTGAGTGGGATCTTCTCGCTGGCGGGTTCCGACGTCTCCAGCGCCGACGCCACAGACGCGGAGACAACCACGCTGGAGGCGGCGGTGCAGACTGTTTACAGTGGCATGTACCAGAGCGTGAAGGATACGCTGATCGCGCTCTTTGAGACGGGCGACATCTCTTCTTGGCCCTCAGACTTGCGCACGGGCGACTACACCTTCGAGGTCGCCAATTTTCTCAATGGGCGGTACATGTTCGAGCTCACCGGCACGCAGGCGTCTGACATCGAGAATACCTTCAACAGCTATCTACGCCAGTACTTGGTGGGCACCGCGCTAGTTTCGGCTAATTACTACATCCTGAAGGGAGCGTACTCGACGAGCAAGTGCGCCTCGGTCTCCAGTGGCACTGTCATCGGCGACTACTGCTACACCCTCGAGTACCCCGGCGCCGGGTGGGAGCTGGTCAAGCAGATCATGACCGACCCGATCAGCAGCGACGACCTGACCAAGCTGACCGACACCTACGGCGTCGACCTCGAGACCCTGTATTCCAACTCCTACACCTGCCAGAACACCACGGGCACCTACAGCGGCGTCGTCGATATTGACGTCCTCACCGCCTCGTCCACCGTGCCCACCTGCTTCTTCAACCTGCCCGTCTTTACGGTGGAGACCTCGGATGAACCCACCATCAACAACTTCCTCTCCTCGCCCTGTCTCGTGTGGGACCGCAACACCACCGCCAAGACCGCCGAGCTGGGCGTCACCTGGATGCCGAGCAACCTGGCCGATGTGTTTGTCCGGGACTTCTGCGAGTGCAATGCCTCGGGGAGGGAGTGCTCGGAGGTGTAAGCCAGCTCCCTCGGGTGTACAGCATGTATGCTGAGCGGAAGACTCGGGGTTGTCCCCCCGCTTGTTGGAGGAGGTTGGATCAAAAGTTTATCTACCATGATATGTTTAACTCATAATCAATAATAGCATTATGTATACAATCTGCTACTATCCCATATTCCTCGTGAAGTGTTCATCAGTCCCCTCTCCATTCAGAATCAGAAGACTAGTATGATCACGACTTCCAAGGAAGGATTCGACAACTGTATCTCCACTTGAAGTTGATCTGTATACTGTGGATCTCTGCTATAAACGCTACATTGGGAATGGACCGACCAGTTCGTCATAACGAGGATTGTGTTGGGAGTTAGTGATTTCTATCTGATGGGTAGATATCTATATCCCACGGATCGAGCGCTCTATTCCGGAACCAACCACATACCTCCCGAAGGCGTGATTATATCGACACCGATGAAATCTCAAGGACGGGAAAGACGGAACGACTTCTCGGATCCTCGGCGGTTCTTTGCTAATAGAGCCAACTGGGCCCATCTGCGTGTGTGAACTAACTCGCTCGGTGAATTGCTGGATCGTCCACGGTGTAGCCCGGGTTACTCGGGGACGCTGACAGTACCCACCTAAGTTATTTAGCGTACTGTAGTTCTCTGGCCCTTTAGGCAAGAGGGGTCTCCTCGCTACGACGAATTTCGACATGTCGGAGTAGATTCATGGCGGATTGCATTTTGTTGGACGGGGCACAAGTCCTCAGCATCGTGCGGGGACCCCACAGGACTACTAAGATGCCACTGTACTACCTGGTTCTTGATGAATTGAAGTCTAGCTGGATATGAGAAGAGATGGTTACTCGAGTCCTGCCCTACTACTGTTGAAGGGTTGCATATGTAGGGTTCTTGCACTACCCATTCTTCGACTTTGGGTCGTGGGGAGCGCGATTATGCTTCCCTATGTTATGTGCCCTATCGCCTTGGCACTTGTCTTAGCATAAATGATAAGCTAGACCGTAACAGTGATAGAATCTCTTATGCTATTGGCAAGTGAGGTTGTATGCAGCTGCAGGACCACGTGCTGCTATCCCTGAACATATTTTGATCAGCGTCTGCGACGCTTGCTGCCAATCGCGGTGGTTGTTGGCTTTTGAAGAAATAAAATGAAGCCCCCTCAGTGGATAACGCATATATCTAAGAACTAGGCTACTAGTTAGGGCATCGGTATCGAGCCATAAAGAGAAAAGGAGAAAAAGTAAAAGAGAAAGAGAAAGCGGTCTTGTTGCAGCCGGGATTGGAAATGAAAGAGATCTGAATTCCTAACACCACCGCCCTGCGCCAGTGGAGCCGGCGATAATCCTTCGATTGGATCCGTTTGTCTTCGAGACTCGCTTCTTTCTCATGGTCTGTCCCTAGGCTCGTGGTAGATCTTTTTCCAACCACAGGCCGACGAGTGGACGACATAGCAGGTGACCATCAGATACCGTACTGTCCGAGCCTCGGAGGTCTCTCTGCCCGCTTGAGCTTGAGTATATAAGTACATCTTATAGACCTTTCCCCAACATACCAGGCTTGTTTGATTAGTTCTTGGGCTCCCGGTATGGTGGTAGCGGTTCCCACTATCTAAGCTACACCGAGCTCTCGCTTTTATCATCATCCTCATCCTCATTATCAGACTCGTTCCTGAACAAGGAATCAATCCTAGAGGAGCCGACGGGAGCGGAGACTTCACCCTGTGGGTGGTGGCACTGGCTTCCTAAATCCGGAAAGCGAAGTTCCCATTACGGACATTTAGCCTCGCACACGCCCGCCCGATCCAACAACAAATCAAAGGCCGGAACGTTGGCACCACAGTCCCAGTTTGAAGTCCGGTGGTCTACGAGGTGCACAATGACTCGTTCCGTGGCCGCTACGTCTTGTCTCTCCGACAAAATGATCCCGAGACTGTCGGGCCAGCACCCGGCTATGATCGCAAGCATCTCACTCTCGCCCAAGGGAAAGCCCTTGGATCGTGCTAAGGCCTCAGGCAAGATCTTTCCGTACTCTTCGGGACCAAGCGCAGAATCCCTGTAGTAGGCAACCTGGCAGATCACGGATGGTTTAATTTGAAGTGATGGTCGAGCATGGAGAATGAACTGGAGCAGGTGAATGGAGCGGAATCCCAGGGCGACGGCTTGTTCCAGTACGCGCTCCGTCACTGGGACCTGGAGTTCATGCGTGAGAAGAAGCTGGAATGAGGCCAGCTTGTCATCGTCCCAGTCCGGGCCCGTTAGCGAGAGGAGAACATCTTCCGGCATGACGGTGTTTGGTCGAAGCGTGAGAATCTCGCGAAAAATCCCCTCGAGATTTGCGGGCCCAGAACCGTCGCATAAGGAAAATGGCAGCGCGGCGGAGAGCTCGATGGAAGGACGCTCCCTCAAGAGGACTCGTGATCGCCCTAAGTCTCTCAGTGCAAGCCACAAGGATGTCGGACAAAGGGGCTCCGGGCCAACGCTGCAACACCCGTTGGAGCACCCAGTCCGGCGACTCACAGACCAGCTCCACAGTCTCTGGAGACAGCATTAAGTCATCGGGCGCTCTGTTTAGGAGTCCACCCACGGTTAAAGACAAATGGTCCCGCCGGACTTTCGGCTCAGCAGACGGCTTTCGCTTGGTCACCAACTGAAAGGAACGCCGGGTCGCCAGGGCGGACTTCAAGATCTCGTCTGTGATCTGCTCGGATGTGTTGGTGGTCACCACCTGATAAACTTCCCAATCGGCCGCCGCTGACTGAACTGCTTGCATCCATTCCATGGTTAAAGTCATATGTGGTGTACGGTCAAGGAGCATTTTCGCATCCGCATCGCTCAATGATGCAGCATGTACGGCCATGGTAAATGTATCCTGGTCAAGCTTAAGGTTGGGGTCACTTGACACTAATGACGCCAAATGCTGGCGACTACAGCCTGATGTAAGGATCCTCTCCAGGTCCGTGAGAGAGAATTGGCGAGGAGTGGAATCGCAAGCAAGTGAAATGTCGATAAGTTTGAATTCAGCTGGAACAAAACCGTGGGTGGCCCAAAGAATCACGTCGTTAGGAAACCCTCAAGGTTGCATTTGATCTGAAGAGGAGCTCCGTGAACAGCGCCTGATGACGAGAGTTGGCAAGAGCCGCTCGAACGGCCTTTTCTGATATTACCGTCGACAAGTCCAGCGGATTCATTGCTAGTGTATACTGAAAGACCTCTCGAGCATCCTGCTCCACCGAGTAGTGTTCTAGTGCACTCCAAAATGACTGAGAGGCCATGAAGTGGCTGTCAAACGGCAGCACGCTCGCGACAAATTGTTCGACATTTTGGAGGGTCTCACTGAAGTGGAAAAGGTGTCGGAGAGTCCTCTCAGTGACACGTAATATGGCTTCGGATGCTATAAGCATGTTCAAAATTTTGAGCGCATGACGGAACATGTGTTTTTGGATCTTCTTGGAATATTTAAAGCCTGCGAATTGGTCGGCCAAGATGCCTATTTGTTGGTAATTCTCGCGTGACAGGGATGCTGGCTCTCGATCGACCAGAACTGTCTCTATAGCAGTCTGTATATCCTCTGACTCAGCCTGACTGAGTACTAAATGCAGAACCCTCGGTTGCCCGGGCTCAATGGCAGATATCAGCGCGGACTGAGTAATATTCGCGCCACATCCGATCAGGTAAGATGCGAGCTCAAAGTGACTTGCGCCACATGCAAAGGAAAGCCCGGTTTGCGTCACCACGGGTCGGTTGATGTCCCATCCCCGAGACAAGAGTGCTTCAATGATTTCTCTGAAGTCATACCGAGAGCCTAGGTAGAAGAGCGTTGGCTTCGAATCCACGACTAGGGCGTTGTATCCGCCGTTGATCAGTTACGAAAGAGACCTGCGATCCCGCAGGGTAAAGCTTTTGACCCATCTGTCAAAAGGAAACTTCCTATACTCGTTTTCGGCGGACCAGAAACCTTGCAAGTATCTTGCAAGAGGTACTTCCTGTCTTAGCTTTCAAGCCTGAGCACAATGAATAGCCATGATCTTGAAGCGTACGCGTCAAAGGTATTCTTGTTTTTGTCCAACCACCAGGAGGTGGGGACAGAAGGGGCTCGTATCCATAGGCTAGAGGGCTGGTGATCATTGAGATAAGACACGCAATGTGCGGCCATGCGAGCATGCGCGATCTCGGGACTGTACTCTGCTAATGTTTGGATGCAAAAACTTCTGAGGTGATGAGGAGGTTAGCTCAACAATCGTAGGGCATAAATCCAGAACATCTCGGGTGGTGAGATTTGACCATTTCTTCCCAGCATTGTAGTTGACAGCAGAGAGAAAAACCGGAACTTCGGACAACTCTTTATGCAAACCATATTCGAGGAGTGTCAGTATCAGTCGGATTTGTTCTTGCCCTTCGGGGTCCTGATTTCTAGGACGAAGCAGTCGGAAATCCCGCGCTCAAACACGATGTTATCCGATCGCGTAATCGCACAAGTAGAAGGGACAAGCCATGCCTCCCTGTGTGAGACTAGCAGGTGCTCCTCAATACCGGGCTCGGGGGGGAGGGGGGGTCGCTTCTCTTCCTATCCGGGTCGAAGATCTCGTCCCACGCCTCATCGATGATTTCCAGGAAGGTAATTCGTTGTCGTTATCTCAACCCAGCACGTCCTCCACATCGGCTGATGCGCGCCCGTGCAGCGCGGTTTGAAGGAACGGATGAGCCCGGTGAGTGTTTGCGGTTTTCCCAGACTTTGATGATTGCAGGGTTGGTAGGCTTTTGGTCTTTGAAGGGGAGAAGTGGACGGAAGGGGAGGTTGGAAAGGAACCGCCGGGTGAAGGGAAGTAACTGCCAGGTCATGACTAGGCGGAGTAGATCCTCTTGCCCTCTTGTGAGAAATCTACGGTCGTAGCTGGAGGTCTGAGAGATGGTAGTAGCGGGGTGATTTGGAGACATCAAGGACGAACCAAGCAGGATCAACTCGGTTTGTGTAAAAGGTATCTGTATGCGTGAGCACTTCAAGATAATGACAACTGTACACCCTCTTAGTCAGCTGAGCTACACCTACCAGCCAGTCGAAGAATACTAGAAAAAGACAAAACAAGAAAGCAAAACTCGAGTTCATAAATCGTCAGGACTGGGTAGGACACGATATATAGTTACAACCCCAAACCAAGCTCATCCCACAAGATCTTGCTGCCGCTTCCCCTCTCATTACCCTGCTATGTCCACTACCCCGTTCGGCTCGATGACCATCTGCCACATCAAGATTATATCCAAGAAATAGAAGTGAACTTCGCTTGCGCATTAATTCCGAGGGGGTTACCATCTTCCCCCAACACAAAAACACAAAGCAAAACTGTACAATATAATAAACGATCGTCTCGAACACGCATCGACTAATTTACCCAGAGTATGGATTATGCTGGGCGTGGTAGGAAGGATAGCTGGCTTGCATTTGCATGCGGAGGCGACGGTCTATTCGCAACCAATGTTAGTACAGGTTCAATGCAAGTATCAAAGAAAGAAATGAGAAAGGCGGAAGAAGCGATTAGGTCAGGCAAGCCATGATTCTGAACGCACCTTTCTCGAAATCCCGCCACCGTTTCATCGTAATCTGACTGCTGTCAAACTCGCCCTCGCCCGCCTCGTGGCCCTTGTCTTTGCCGCCCGCCGTCTGCCGCGTGTCACCCCAGCTGAAATCGTCAAACTTCCAATACGAGTACGTCGGCAGCACGAAGTTCCACACGGGCAGCGACAGCAGGTAGATCAACATCCACAGCACGTACACCATCCTGTGGGCGGTCACCACCACCAACACACCTGGTAGTCCCAGGATCAAAGCTAACAGAACCAAGGGCAACACCTGGACGGGCCGGTGGACAATCGAGTTGATCACAACGTAAAAGGTGAAGGCGATGGCGGCAGGCAGCACGAGCGTGCCCACCAACTCGATGAAAATGACGAATTGCATGCTGAAACAGAAGGTGCCGCAGAGGTCGCGCACCAACACCAACTCCATCAGATTGTGCACGGTACTGTTGATCCATCGCCGGCGCTGAGAGAGCAGCACCATGAACTTGTCCGGCACCTGGGTCTTGCACACGGCCTGTGGCACAAAGATCTGCTTGCGCTTGGGAAAGGTTCGGAGCATGAGTGTCGACAGATAGCGGTCCTCACCCAGAAGAAGCAGGTTCTTCTTATGGAGTGTGTCCACGACGTTCTCTGAGTAGTGCTCGACCACATCCGGGTTGGCGAGAATCGGAACCCAGTAGTTTTGCCCGCCCTTGGGCGCTTTAATACGATACATCGAGAAACATCCTGGAAGACAGGTCACACCACCAAAGACAGATTCGAATGACTTGGCCTGGTGATGAGACACAAAGTATCTAGATGGTTGGTTAGTTTGGGCCCACATTCAGAACAGAGAAGTTAGTAAAAGAGAAGCATACTCAAACACCTGAATCATCGTCACCCAACTGTCGGTCTTGTTGGCAATCTTCGTCTCGCCACACAGTCCCATAACTTCCGGATCTTTCACCATCGCCGAGATCATGTGCGTCAGACTGTCCGGAAACACCTTGGTGTCTGCATCGACACACAGAAGAACCTCGTAGAAGTCCGGCGGAATTCCGGTCACCAGCCAAAGCCCATTGAACATCTCAAACTCCAGCTCCGTCATCCGTTCATCGAACATTACCTTCTGCAAGAAAGACATCAGAATGATCTGACTATCTCTCTTACCGCGGTTACCGGGTTTGGACTGGGTAGCTTCCGCCGGTGTCCCACATTTCACGACGATCATCATGGGCACGCGCTGCTGCTTTTCCTCGGGAATGATCGAGTTTACGCCGTAGTCGTAGAAGCCGGCGTAGACCTTGGCCATGTTGTGCCGCTTGGATCCGGTGGCTACGGCAACATAAGAGAAGGGCTGGACCTCGTCCATCGGGACGATCGGATCACGCATCATGCGCAGAACAATTTCTGGGGTGGAAAACTCCTCGCCTTTACCCTTAATCATTCCATCACAGATCACGATAATGGTTTTGTGGCTGTTCGGATAGTCGGTCATGGCAATTGAGTCCAGCGTGGAGCGAATACCCTCTTCACCTTCCGAGTAACAAGTCACCAGACATAAAGAATGAGCCAAGGGGAAACCATACGGCTGCCACTCGGGAGGGGGCTGAGGAATGACCGCTTCATGGACGAAGCCACCTAATCCAGCAGACTCCGATTCCGGCATTGCAGTTGAATACCGAGAGTCCTGAAGTGCCAAGCTAGATCGACTCGCTGAGTTGGCATGGCGCGAACCGTCAGCCGTCAAACTACCTCCGCTTTCGTTGTAGTTCTGCCTGTATACGGAGTTGCTCCCACCGGGTACCAAGCGGGTTGTCGAATTCTGACTGGCCATCGTCACATATTGATATTTCTGCTTGCCCCCGTTGCTCACGGTGTATGGACTGGAGAAGCGAGACGTGGTAGGCAAGAAGCTGGCCCTCTTACCGGGCCGCTCCAGCATAGTCGGGTCTGCGACTCGTGGTCCCGGGCGGTAAATATCATTCGACCAGTCCTCGATTTGCTGGTTCCGCGTTTTGGAGTCAGCCGCCATGCTAGTCCGAGCCGGGGCGTACTGCTTGGCCAGGAACCACTGGAAAAGCAAAGCAAAGATAAATTTCACCACAACAATCGAGAGGATGAAGATCAGTGATACGTAAAGCACCACCTTGGAAGCAATACAGCCGACCGTGTCGGTGTCGATGCTGCCGACCTTGATGATCTGAGACAAACACTTGCCGATCTTTTTCTCCTCGCCAGTCTGCAGATAGTACGTGAGATCGACCCCGCGCACGGCCGAGTTCTCGCGAAGCTCATCAAATTTCTTCGGATATTTGACTTGCGTTGTGTCAAACCACCGTAGAAGATCCAAATCCAAGACATTGCCAGAGTAGACGGCAAGATTCCTGCTCTTATTCTTGGTGTCTTCCCACGTGTAATACACGTCACCGGAGCTTTTCAAGTTATAGAACGACTTACGAGCCGAACCGGAAGTGTGGCAGGCCCAGCCGAGGTAGTAAGACTCCGTCGTGTTCGGCTCGGACGAACCGTCCTGGTTGAACGCATGACACGGGAAGTACCACGCAAGGTCGCCATCTGAATTTGTCGGCACATCAGATCCATCGGCAAGAGTGATCAAGCCCTTGCACTCCCCGTTGACCTCCTGAAAGAAGAAGCTACCGTCTTGGCCTCCGTATTTATGCGATAGATCCCAAAGCACGTTAGTCCCAGCCGGAATGCCCGCAGCCGCGGGGTGCGTAGAGTGCGACAAGTCGTATGCCTGACCGTGGAAGATCATGTAGCTACTACTGACTTCATTGACCCTAAGCCGAGTCGGGGGAGTGCCGCAAACGGTGGCCGTGAAACCGAAGGTGAGGAAACCGACGAATGCCCCAATCAGCAAGATGATACTGATCAACCCAATCTTCTCCCGCCAGGCGCTTCTCTGGGCCTTCTGCGGCATGCCGAAGCACCTCAGGATGAAATCGGGGGCCCAAAAGGTGATGATGGCGCAATACGTGGTCCAGGGACTGGGTGGCCGGACCTGCTCCAGCGCCTTTTGGCGTTCTCTTTCTGCTGCAGCAGCCCTCTTCTTGATTCTGCGAGATGATCTTCTCTTCTTGATGCGACGTTTCTTGGGGGCCCTTTCCATCGGCTGATTGACATTTCCCTGAGTGACGTATACACCTGTCTTCCCTTTCGATTCCGAGCTTCGTGAGCTATTTGTGTCCGGTTCCTGCTCGCGACCCATCATGGGCTCGTCCCCGGTCTGGGACGGGTAGGTCGGCATGTTCTGCGACTTCTGGCGATAGTGGTAATGAGGATGGTTCTGGTCCACTCGGGTGCGTTCCGGTTTCACGAAGCTCTTTCGATTCCTCGAGTCTGTCTCCCAGTCGCCCCTCTCCACATCCGCATCGCTTCGTCTCCTGGAGCTGCGTGAGCGATGGTGCCGGTGATGGCGATGTCCCGACGGGGAGCTGTCTTCGGGATCATGGTGGCCTGTCGACTCGCGGGTACGGTGGCGCCTCCGGGAAGATTCGCGATACGAGTCAAATGTTTCTTCTCGTCGCGGGGAAGCCTTCCCCGGACGCTGAGGTAAGGACATGGCCCTGATGCCTGGAAATTTCAATTCGAATTAGTGATTCATCGCCACCGGTCGCAAAGGCGCAGGATATTTCTTTGAATGTATGCGAACAAGGTAGAATTCGAAATGTTGATTTTGCGCGTGGTTTGCATGTGAAATGCGGACAGTTGGGGGAGAGTGATAAGATAGCATCGAGGAAAGACCTCACCCACCTTCACCTCAGCATAAATAACAGGTGTGAGGAACGGCCTTGCAACAACCTGGTCCGAATTTCGCCTTTTGGTAGGCAGGAGACACTTCTCGCCGGAAATGCAGACGATGCGCGCAACAGCTGCTGGCAGCTCCGTGGTTGGATGCCAGGAAATCCTCCGTGGACAAGCAAGCCAGGAATGAATGTGGAGAAAGAGGGAGAGATTCCAGGACAGAAAGCGAGCGCGGATACAACAGGCGGAATTTTTGCTGCCAAGGAACGAGCGACTGGAGCAGACCAGCGAGATGAGCGAGCGAACGCAATGGATGAAGAGCAAGTGGTGGAAAAGGAAAGGAGAGATGGGTGAAACCACGGCGCTGCGGGCGATAGTGCGGAGTAACCAGCAACTAGCGGTGGTAGTCCCTGTAGGCTAGATAACTTAGAGGCTAGCAGAGAAAATGAAAATACGGGAACCCAAGATTGTTCAGCCAAAGGTACCGTCCGTATCCAAATATTGATAATTACGCCGGGTCTCTTTCCCACGTTGCGCCAGAAGATCACGGGGGACCCGTTTCTTATCGTTGCCAAGCCAGTCGAGTCGGGCCCATCCGATCAGCGAAGGAAGGCAAGAAAGAAAGAATGCTGGTGGGGTAGAAAAATGGCAGGCAGCGGTGACAGATGGTGGGAGGAATGTGTCCTATGAATAATGCCACGAGAAAGAAGAAGGATAAGAATAGGAGGAAATTGATGGTTGGAGGATGACGATGACTGGCCTATGGCATGAAATGAGATGAATGGGATAAATGAGATAAATCCTGCGTACGGCGTACTGTACACAAACAGTCTTCCGGTACATGTGCTGCTGCGGGCGGTCGCTAGGGGCAATGGATGGCCTGAGGTGTGTGCCCCGCTAACACATACTAGGTGGACTAACTATCAGCCAGACCAGCGAATCTTACCGACACACGAAAGAATGGTAGGAGCATCTACAGAAAGAGTTATAAATTGGAGTCTGATGCTGGTAGATAAGAGT